CTTCTTTGTCTTACAGCTCTTAGAAGGCCTCTTTAGTTGATACTTTGGTAGTCTGATGACTGCATGTCGTGACGGTTTCTGTTTGCTTTGATCTCCCAGGGGTCCTCTGAGCTTCTTGAACTTGTATATCAAATTTTGAGCAAGGTGGAAATTTCCTCTATTATATCTTCAAAACAGCTTGTCCAACCCTTGAGTGTTGTCTCTTCCCCTTCTTGTAACCTATGACCTCACATTAGGTTTCTTCACATAATCCACAGCTCTTGTTGTAGGCTTTGCTCTTTTCTCTGTTTCTCTGCTCTATTTCTGTGATGATTTATTTAATTGGAGGGTGTTTCTTCAAGCTCTGAGATTCTTCTTCTGTTTCATTACCCTGTCTGGTCTTTCACTGTATTTTGTATCTTGAATTGATTCTTCATTTCCAGGAGTTCGGTTACACTTTTCTTAATGTGTCTATTTTTTTCTCATATCCTGGAGACTTCGTGGTTTCTTGGTGTTGGTTGTTGAGTGTTGTTGCAGCTGGGTAGGTTCTTATGTCCACATACGAATTCCTCTTCTGTCATATTGGTTGCCTGATTTTGTCGGTGTCCGCATCTAGGGCTGGTGCTCCTCTTTGGGGGTGTGTTTTCCGTTTGGTTCTTCATATTTCCTGAGTTTCGCTGATTTCTTCCATGTCGATCAGTTGTTGTTTCTTTCCTTAGTTATTGTTGGGTATTCACACACTTGTTTAGTTTCTGAGGCGTTAGGTGGTGCTGTGGGTGAATTGGCCACTACCTGTATATTGAGTCAGTGGGTGCCGTGAAAGCTGTGCAAGATGCCGTCCCTGTCAGTAGGTGGCGTTTGCTTGGAGGAACAGTATGGTGTTGATTTGAGTCTTTATCAGCTCTGTTCTGGGCGGAGCTTGGTTGGGTAAGCCTGCCTCAGGCCTTAGCAGGGGTGAAGTTCTGTTCTCTGCTTCCAGGAAGCTGTCAGGGCGGGGTGGAATGGTCCCGCTCAGCCAGAAAGTCTGTGTGTGGGTGGGGCTGTCTGAGACCCGTAGTCTGAGCAGGCCTGCTTCTTTCCACCCCCCCAACTCCGCAGTACTCCTGGGCTCTGCGCAGGCAGACCAAGCACCAGGCTCCCGGACTGTGATGCCGGCGGGAGGTTCCCTGCACAGGAACGCCACCTGGGTTGGGCGCACGGCCTCCTCCCTGGAGGAGGGTTGCCCTCTAGGACGCCGATCCGCCCTTGGGAGGCACACAGACCTCAGTAGGCTGTTCAGTATAACCCTTCTGTTCCCGGCAATGCTAGCCCTTGGTGCAGGGGATCTGGTCTGCAGGTCCAACCTCTGGGTCCAGAGTTCAAACTGTATTCCCACCAGGGAGAGGATTTCCGGTCCTAATTCACCCACAGGGAGCCAAGGTGGGTCTATGTCTCTCAGCCTCTGAGTCGGCACTGTTTCCTGGGAACACGGTGCAGCAGCACCTGGGAGGGGCGGCGGTCCAAACGGGAAGGTCGCATTCCTGGAGGTGCTCCGCTGGTGGCTGTATTGTCTCTCTGGCAGCCGCGGGTAGGTCGGCGGAGGGGAGGGAGGCAATATGGCACCTGCCGCGTGGCTCGGTCCGTGCACACGGAGGTTCCGGAGGAAGTTGGAACTGGTGCCACGTCTGCTACAGGCTCACATTGGCAGGGCGGCAGTCTCTGGGCTTGTGTCCGCAGGTCTTTCACCCCTGGGGCCCACAGCAGTCCCGAATGCAGGGGAGGGAACAGCAAATCCACCTACCCTTTCGCGGTCTCCGGGCTGCTCCGTGGTCTCAGCCTCAGTTCTCCTCCGCAGCCTCCTCCCGGGAGTCTCCCGGGTCTCAGGTACCCTCCTTCCGGCCCTTGTCCGCTGTATGCTCGTCTTCTTGCTTCTTTCCTCTAGTTTCTGCTAGAATCTGTCTTTTCTGCAGAGACCTTCTGTCTGGCGGTGTTATTCGTCCGCCATCTTCTCACACTGTCTCTATTTTTATTCAAAAAGAACTGCAGGCCGGGCGCAGTGGCTCATGCCTGTAATCCTAGCACTTTGGGAGGCCGAGGCTGGCGGATTGCTCAAGGTCAGGAGTTCGAAACCAGCCTGAGCGAGACCCCGCTCTACCAAAATGAAATAAATTAATTGACCAACTAAAAATTATATACAAAACTTAGCTGGGCATGGTGGCACATGCCTGTAGTCCCAGCTACTCGGGAGGCTGAGGCAGTAGGATCGCTGAGCCCGAGATTGAGGTTGCTGTGAGCCAGGCTGACGCCATGGCACTCACTCTTAGCCGGGCAACAAAGTGAGACTCTGTCTCAAAAAAAC